GCGGTCGTCGTCTCGGCGGTCGTGCCCTCAGTGGTCGTCGTTCCCTCGGTTGTCGTCTCCGACGTCGCTGTCGTGGTGGACGTCGCGCGCGAGCGCTCCAACGCTGCGGCCTCCTCGCTGTCGGGTTCGTCGCCCTCTTTCTTCGCTACAAAGAGACACAGACATAGAAACAGTGGTGACACGTGACAATAGACACTCACAGAAGGGCGCCAACTGCTTGGGCGCGGCGCCCGCGTCGCTGGAAAGGGAGACGAAGCGCTGGCGATAATAGGGATGACAGAGTTTGTAACAGTTCTTCACACTCACGAAGCGATTGGCGTTTCCGCCGCAACCGCTGTAAGAGAAGGCTTTGCACGTGTACGTCTTAGAGTCGTAGTAGATGCGGATCAGGTCCTGGGCGCAGGGGCCCGCGTCCACGGGGGAGAAGCACGCGCTGGGAATGCCGATGTGCGACTGGCCCCTCAGCAACACCGCGCGCCCGCACGCCACCGGGTCGGGGCTGTTGTCGCACGGACTCGACGCTGACGTCACGACAGCGAGCACTGGACAGAGAGGGCAATGAAGACAGTTGTCATAATTCAGAGGAAACTCACGCGCGAACAAAGAGACCAAAAGAGAAACTGTTTTCGAATTCATTTTGTTTTTGGAATTCATTTCAAAAAATCTGTTTTTCATTTCCTGAAAGAAAACTGAAACGAAATTCAAATCTTTTTAATTATTTTTTTGCAATTTTATTCACTTTTGCATAAAATTCTTCAAATTTTGGCAAAAAGTGAGAAAAAGTGTCGAAAAATCAAAATTAATACAAATTTTACGCAAAATTCTAATTATTTCTAAAAACATAAAATTTGTTGAAAATTAAGAAAAACTTGGATTTCTTTTGATTTAAAATTGAATTCTTTTTCAAATTCTTTCTTCTTTTCGAGAATTTATTCTATTTTTAAATTTATTCCTGAATTCGAAACACAAATAACGCAACAAATGAAGAAAATTCTTGAACAGAAACCGCATTTTTGGTCCCTTTTTATACGAACTGAGTGTCAGTTATTGTGACAAAAGGGACCGAAGCGTGAGTTGACGTCAGAATGAGTGCAAAACAGTAAACATTAAGTCGAATCCAATGTTTGTTTCGCCGAAAACTCTTCGCGAATATTGTTTCGATTTTCTGCGCCTTTCGCTCGAATGCGCGGTGACGTCATCGCCGGCCTCTCCCGCTCTCCCTCTCAGCGCCGCTCTCGTCGAGGAATTGCTGCAAACGCTGTCCGAACACCACTTGACGGGTATTTCCCAAACAAACGCTTTCCGGTTAGCTTGTCGCATGGGTACACGTTTTTGAAAGTTTAATAACCAAACATATTATACAGAACTTTTGTTCGAAAAAAATTATTTACGTAATTTATTATAAATGATATATAAATTCGATGTAGAATTTAATGCTGATTAATAATATAAAATCAATTATAAAATCCAATTGATGGTTAAAAAGGTATTTCAATATAAATTTAATGTATAATATGTTTGGTTATTAAACTTTCAAAAACGTGTACCCATGCGACAAGCTAACCCGCTTTCCAACACTAATCCTGTCTTCCATTTCCAGACGACGTTCTCCTCCAACCCCTCTTCGCGTCGACGCCGTTGTCTCGCGTTTGCATCGAAGACGCGTCGCTTCTGACCACTCGTTCGCTGCGCTCTCTCCGCTCTCACGCGCTGAAAGAGCTCCGGGTGTCGCGACTTTCGAAATGCACGATAAACGAGTTGATTGGCTGTTTGGGCGACCAATCGCTGCAACGACTGCGACTCCTCGACGTGTCGCGCTCTGCCTTCACTTCGGCCAATCAGGTGAGAGTTGTTACGCGTTGACCACAACTGACCACTGCTTCCAGTTCTGCGTCGTGATAGGTCTGGCGAAACTGCGATCCCTGCGCGCGCTCGACGTCTCGCACACCGACTTCAACGCTCACGGCCTTGAGATCGTGGTGGACGACCTTCCGCTCATCCAATCGCTCAACATCTCCGCCACGCGCGTCAAAGACATCTCCGCCCTCCGTCGCTATGGCAACCGTCTGCGGGCGCTCGCGCTCTACAACCTGAAGTGCGACGACCAGTGGATGACGACAATCCGCGAATTGCCACAACTCGCGCTTCTGGACGTCTCGGACGACACCGACAACCCGTTGGACGCGCTGTCGTCGCGCAAACACGACTTTCTGCGCCCTCTGCTGGACACTGAGTTCGCGCGCCTGCAGTCGCTCGACATCTCCGGCAGAGGCGACACTTTCGACGCGCGCTCTTTGGCGCGCTTTCTGCAGAGAAGGAAACTGGACTTTCTGGGAGTCATGGCGACGCAACTCGCGTTCGACGACGCGCTCCTCGCCTGCGCGGACATGGCGGTCGCGGGCAGCGCTTCCGAGGCGCAGATCCTCCTGGCGCTGCACCGGTACGAAGCGCGCGCCAACTTCGTGCAGAAGTCGCTCTTCCACCTCTACGCGCTGACGCATGCGTTCTCCGACGCGAAGCCCGACGTCATCGCCGCGATTGTGCGCCCGATGCGACGCCACCTGGCGGTGATCTCTGTGCAGATGGCGGCCACGGCGTGTCTCTACAACCTGACCAAGAACGACCATGGCGACCGTCTCCATCCACACGTGCTGCGCGCTGTCGTGGAAACGACGCTCCTGGCGATGGCCGCGCACCCCAACAACCAGCAGTTGCAGAAGAACGCGCTCCTCACCCTCTGTTCGGATCGCGTGCTCCAAGACGTGACCTTCGACCGCTTCCACTGCACGCAACTCGTGCTGGACTCTCTCGTGGCGTTCAAGGACGCGGCCATGAACCGCATGTCGGTCGCCATCGTGTCCATCCTGGCCGCCAAGATCTCCACCGCAGAGACGAGTGTGTTGGGCGCGCGCCCGCACTACATGGAGGCGCTGCTGGCCATTGTGCGCACGCGCGTGGCGGACGGCGGCCACAACGACCTGATGCTGAAGTTCACTTTGAGCGCCCTCTGGAACCTGACGGACGAATCGCCGAAAACGTGTCAAATGTTTCTCTCGAAGCGCGGAATGGATCTCTATCTGCGCGTCCTCAACGTGAGCCATAGAATAGTCACGTGACTCCCTCTAACCGTTCTCTCTCTAGACGTTCCCCGGCGAGTGCGCGGTGGAGACCAAAGTGTTGGGTCTGGTCAACAACATCGCCGAAGTGCGCGAACTGCGGCACAACCTCCTCGACGTGCATTTCCTGCGCGTTCTGCAACAACTGATGCGTTCGCCCCAAATCGACGTCTCTTACTTCGCCGCCGGCATCTTCGCGCACTTGTCGTCCGACGGCCAGCAGTTGCAGGAGTTGCCGGACGTTCTCAACGAACTCGTGAGTCATTCACAGGTCATTGAACTCCCTCTAATCACGTGTCTCCCTAAGGTGGAAGTGGTGCTCTCGTGGCAGACGCCCGACATCGAGATGGTGGCCTACCGCTCCTTCGTGCCCTTCCTCCCGCTCCTCCAGTGCGCGCAATGTCCGGCCGTCCAGTTGTGGGCCATTTGGGCGATCCATCACGTGTGCTCCAAAAACCGTAACTACTCTCCCATGCACTCCCCCATTCACTCTCTCTCTCTCTCCCGCAGCCAAACGCTATGTGGAGATGTTGGTGGCGGAAAAGGGCGCGCAAACCATTCACGCCATTTGGGAGCAGAGCGCGGAGGCGGAGGAGAGCGCGCTTTCGCAGTATTGTTCGAAAACTCTGCAAATAATTCGCAAAGAATTTCCGAAAATTATTTATTAAAAAACGTTTTTTTGTTTTGTTTTCAAATGTTTATCAAAATTAAAAGTTGTTTACATTTCGCGTTATCTCTCATTATTGTCACGTGTTTTGCAAAATGGTTAAAAAAGACGAGAAATTGATTCAATTTTTGTTCATTTTTCTCTTATTTCTCACATTTTTATTCATTTTTTGGTTTATTTTCCAAAGTTTTCAAACTTTTCAAGAAATTAACGAAAAATTAATTCAAATTTCGATTCAAAACGAAACGAATTTCAAACAAATCTCGAATCAATTGATGGAAAAAAGTATTCACTCTTATATCCAATCCCATAATCCTAATCCCAATCCTTGATCCCCCAAAAGAACTGCTGGCCGTGAAGGACATCCTCCGCCTCCTCTCCTATTCCTCTGCGCTCGTGTTCGCCGCTTTGGCCGCAATCCTCCGAAACCAGCTTTTGGTGGCCTTCTTCGCGCTTCTCCTCTCTCTCGCGCTTCTAATCCACGTCTTCACTCCAATCCTGATTCCCGAATCCGTTGTTGTCTTTGCGGTCATTGACCTCTCGTTGGCCGCCCTTTACGCGCATTTCCTGCAATAAAAGCCGTAATTTATGTGAGACTTGTTTTTGTGGGCGTTTCTGCGATGAGACGAGAATACCTTTCGTGCGATTCTTCGTCGCTCTCTCTCGAGACCACAATCTGCGCCACAATCGGCGCCAAAAGCACTTCCAACGCGCAGTTCAAAACCGTTCTCCGCCTCCAGAGCTTCCCATTGGACGACGCGATTCGTCACGACTTGTGGCGCGAACTCGCGCTCAGACACTGTTCGCGCGCCGCTCCCGAAGACGACGTTCCCGACCAACACTTCGACACCAGAAAACTGCCCAAATTCGTCGAACCACGAGTCGCGCGCTTCTTCGCCCTCAACGCCGACGGCAGGCGTGACGTCACGCGCGTCCTCTGGAGTCTCTCCCAAAGTGAGTCCATTCCCACCTCTAGCCGACGCTGACCTCTACTCTCCCGAAGGTTGTCCGCACGTGACGTACGCGCCTCTAGTCTACCCGTTGACGGCTCTATTCCTGCACTTTCATGACGTCATCGATGTCTACAAATGCATGTATTCTTTGGTCAGAAAGCGACGCTCTCTTCACGTCACGTGACACTCACTCCCCCTCTCTTTTTAGATCAACTCCCGCGACGTGCACTTCATGTCCACAACGAAAGCCGACAAATCGCGAGACGCCATAATTCTGGTCAAACTGACCAAAAAGCTCGGACTTCTGCGGCCGCGCAAAGTGGGCGCCGACGCGCGCGAGAAGCTCAAGAACAACGCGTTGGACACGGCGTTCGGCGAATACCTGCAATGTAAATGTGATGTCACGTGACGCTCACTCTAACTGTTCCCTCCCCCTCTAGGGATCTTCTATCTGCCCTTTCATCACGTGATTCGCGTCATCGACTGCTTTCTGGTGGAGGGCGAGAAGTTCCTCTTCCGGATCGCATTGTCGCTCGCGATTCAGTGCCAGAAACACAAGAATGGAATCAATTTGGAGAAAATGCGCGAATTCTGCGAAAACATCCAAATTTCGCCGCAAAAACTCATTTCCGTCGCCTTGAAAGTGACGTCACTCTCGCGCAAAGGTTTGCCATTGCATTGGTGTTGCATTGCACTGACCCCTCCCTCCCCCCTCTCGCCCGCAGACATTGCCAAAGCCAAATCGAAGGCCGAATTAAAGTCGGAAAACATTTCGTTCAACGAAAGCCCGCTTCACGTCAAGTGTGACGTCATCTCCGCCAAAGACTACATCATCGGCGCGCGCATCGCCCCCCAGCACTTCCACTCACAGATCCTCAACACGTGGTCTCTGGTGGACACTCTGTGGGAGTGGCTGCCCGAGCGCCTGGTCGTGCGCGAGCCGGAAGTGGTGTTCTGTTCGGAAGAGAACGGCAACTCTTTGCAGACCTTTTTCACGCTTTGCGCCGATTTCGAGCCAACAATACTTCTCATCAAAACCATCGGCAATGAGGTCAGAGAGAGAGAGAGAGAGAGAGAGCGAGAGAGAGTTCAGAGAATAGAGATGGAATGACGCAATGTAATCACATGTCTGTTCAGGTGTTCGGCGCGTTCTGCTCGACCTCGTGGTCCAAGCGGTTGGACTTGATGTCGAAAAGCGGTCAATACTTCGGAACGGGAGAAACCTTCCTCTTCCAACTGTTGCCGACGCACGCGAAGTACGAGTGGGTGGGGAAGGCCCAGAAGATCACCTCCCACTCCCAGCAGCTCTTCATGTCCGCCAACCACCGCTCCATCTGCGTCGGGTCGGGCGGCGGCCGTTTCGGTCTCTTCGTGGACGAGTCGCTGACCAGAGGCCAGAGCGACAGATGCGAGACCTTCGACAACGAGCGCCTGTGTTCAGGTGAGTGTCACGTGACTCGGTTTACTCTTATTAAGCGTTTGTTTCCATAGAAACGAATTTCGACATTTCTGTGGTCGAAGTGATCGCTTTCTCGTGACTTTATTCAAAACTCATCAAAAATGTCATAAAATACATATTCATTGCCCATCACGTGACACGACCGCTGCCCCGAACACCGCCGTCGTCATAGCGACCATCGCGGCCACCACTGCGGCGATAATCGAGTGGAAGAGCGCGACGACCACTGCGACGACCGCGAGGACGACAGACGACGCGAAGACGACGTGTTTGTGTTCGACAACAATACCAATGAACGTAATAATCGCGAGCAGAAGAGAGAGACCGGAGAAGAGGATCGCATTGAAGACTGGAAGAGAGAGAGAGAGAGAGGACATTGAATTCACGCTCACTTCACGCATTGTTTACCTTTTTCTGGGTTTTTCTCCGAATTGTAATCAAAATAAACGATAAAAACAATTAAAACCAAAATCAGAGTTAAAAAGAAAAGTTCGAGAAAAACTTTAATGAAGCGAAAAATGAGCGCATTTTCAAACATTTTCGCGATTGTTGCCATTTTTAAACCACTTTAGCCTTCGTTTCCTTGTTTTGGAGTTTTTTTATTTCTCTTTCAGAGCGAAAAGAGTTAAATAAAAAACACAAATAATTGCGAACAAAATGTGAATAAAAAACAACTTTTCAAACACCAGAAAACCAATCAAAAGCCACGAAAGCTGTGCGGCGATGAAAATCACGAGACATTTGGTGTTGTTTTCTAGGAAACCGAAGAAACCGAGGATTGAGAGCGCGAGAGAAACCAAGCATTGAATGAGAGCGACGATAACTGCAGAAGAGGGCGAGACTTAGTTATTATTGTAATTGGATTTGAATTTCGCATACATTTGTGTTTTTGTCCCGAATTGACGGAAATTAACGGTAAAATGACAACAGTTTGAGAAATGAATGCAATTATCGACAAAAAGAGTATTATTTCGGAAAAGATTCGCAAAAAACTGAGAAAAGAGTTCAAAGAAAACATATTTTTGACATTATTTCCAAAATGAAAGCAAAACTCGTTTTTGAAAACCAAAAAATCCTTGAATTAGTTGATTATGCAAATGTGTTGATCACGTGACTCGCGACTGGCGAGAAACGCGTACAAAGTTGTGGTCATTGTTAGCGAGAGATGGAAGGAAGTGGACAGGAAGTGATGTCTCGAGAGCTGAACGAGTGTTGAGACGCCGTGAAAGCCAACCAACAGCCAGAGACAGTTGCGCTTCAAGATGGCGACCAATGAGAGCAGAGTGGCGACCAGAGACACGCCCATCGCGGCGGCGGCCACTCGGAGCGCGCGTTCTGTTGACAACAAGAGTTAGACAACGATTGGTTGAGAGAGTGATTACGTGTTTCTCGGAACTGCACTTCGGGCAGATTGTGGTCGTTGGCGGTGAGGAGAGCGATGGCCAGCAGACTGGCGCCCAACACGACCACCACGACCAGCAGCGAGAGCGCGTGCGCCACAATCAGACCGATTCTGAGGCACGAGAACGCACTTTTCATGTCGACCTTCGCTTCCAACGCATCGATGAATGCCCAATGAGTAGACATGGGGAACGTGATGATCAAGGTCGCATTGTTGCTCATTATTGGCTGAGAACTTGTATTCTTGACAAAAGTTGTGTCAAAGCGTTCATCCGAACGCGAAATGAGCGCAGAATTAGAACACAGAATATCGGGTTTTATTGCAGTTTATTCGTGGCGTCGGTGTGAAGGCTCGTGATGTAGTGATGTGGAGGTGGAAGTGATATTTTGGCCGATTTTCTCCTGAATTAACGTTGATTAACGTTGAGTTGACCTGAACCTCAATTCAGACAAAGAGTGCAGTTTCCCAGCAGTCGAGGAGAAATGCAAACTTTGAAAGTTGTGAAGCTTTCAAGTATTGAAGCAATTGTTGTGAAAGAAACTTAATCTCAGCTTAAAGTGCGAAAGTTGAGTAACTTTGAAGTGTTGCGTAATTGCGGACGTAATTGACGCGCGAGTGTGACGTCACGGCGTCATAACAGTCGCGATAAAAACAATTTTATCTTTGATCGCACTTTTGATGGCATTTAACAACAATCCAACTCTTCGCTCGTGAAAATGTCGCAACCAGTGACTGACTCGCTGTCGCGCGACGAAGCGCTCTTCCACTTCGCCAACAAATGCCAACAAAAGCTCTTCATTTGGCGCCAATTCGAGGACTGTTTCAAAGTGAGATCCGAAGTTGCGGTCAATTCGTGTAGTAATTCCTCCCCCTTTAGTGTCCGCTCGTGTTCTGGACGGCGATCGACGCCCAGAGCGAAGTCGTGGTGAAGAACTCGACGAACGACGCCCTCTGGTGGGCGATCACCGAAACCAAGAATTCTTCCGATTATTTGCTTTCGAAAGAAGAGAAGATTTTCTGCAAAAACCAAATCTCGCCGAAAGACCAGTCGATCCACAAGATCTCGTAATCACGTGATCCTTGCTCTCCCCCTCCTAACGCCTTCCTCTTTTTTAGTATTAAACGANTGGTGGGCGATCACCGAAACCAAGAATTCTTCCGATTATTTGCTTTCGAAAGAAGAGAAGATTTTCTGCAAAAACCAAATCTCGCCGAAAGACCAGTCGATCCACAAGATCTCGTAATCACGTGATCAATACTCCCGCCCCCTCCTAACGCGTTCCTCTCTCTCTAGTATTAAACGAGTGTTTCATTTCAGCATTTCCGGCGCAAACCACAACTTCTCGTGCGAAACACAGACCCTCGACGACGGCCGCAACAACGCCTGGCCGCTGGTCGTGGCGGCCGCGGTGTACGTCCTGCTGGCCGTCCTCTTCTACGGCGGACGACGTCTGTATTGGCGCTACAGAGCGCGTCACGTGACGCAGATCGCGAGCGAAGAGCCGGACGACAAGAATGAGGACAAACGGCGGAAGCGCCTGAAGTCGTTGGACTGCTTTCGAGGGTTCGTTCTTTCCGCTCCCAATTCGCGTTCTCATTCTCATTGTGCGCAGAATCACCATTTTGATGATGATCTTCGTCAATGTGGGCGCCGGCGGCTACGAGTTCCTCGACCACGCCCCCTGGGACGGCTTCCACTTCGCCGACATCATCTTCCCGTGGTTCATCTTCATCATGGGCACCACCATGGCCATCTCGCTCAAGAGCCAAGTGGTCAGACACAAGACGCCGCCCAAACTCATCTTCTTCCAGATCGCCAAACGCTCGCTCACGCTCTTCGCCATCGGACTCGTCCTCAACTCCAACGGCGAAGGTAGCCAATCACAGCACTGAACCCCCTCTCACCCCCTTTATTTCCACAGCCAATTGGCGGACGCTGCGCATTCCTGGCGTTCTGCAGCGCTTCGGCGTTTCCTATCTGGTCGTGGCCTCGAGTCACGCGCTCTCTCTCCTCCTCCACAAGGGCGAGCTGTTCGGCGCGCGTGAGTATAGAGTCATGTTGCTCTCCCCCTAACACGTGACTCCCCCTCAGTTCGGATCCACCAATTGGTGGACGTGATTCCCTATTGGTTCGAGTGGATTGTTGTCGCGCTCATGACTCTCCTCTACACAAGTCTGACCTTCGGCTGGAAATTCGCCGACAATTGCCTCAAAGGATATGTCGGTCAGTATTCAACCAATCAGAACAACACACAATCAATCAATCCAATCGCAGGCCCGGGCGGCATCGCCGACGATATGAGCGCCGTCGCGTGCACGGGAGGCGCCGCCGCCCACATCGACAGGTGGCTCTTCACCGACAAACACCTCTATCAGGGCTTCACCGCCAGACACCTGTACGACCCGAAGGACGAGTTCCACCTGATCCACGACCCCGAAGGAGTGCTCGGTTCGCGCCTACAATGCCCCCAATGAGTACACTAACGCCCTCTGTCCGCAGGCACCACCAACTCCATAATCCTGACGTTCCTCGGCCTCCAAGTCGGCAAAATCCTCATCTCGTTTCCGAACCCCAGACAACGCATCGTGCGCTGGATCGCGTGGGGCGTCGGTTGCGGCGCTCTGGCCGCCGCTCTGGGCGCCTCCGGCCTGATCCCCGTCAACAAGAACCTGTGGTCGCTGTCCTTCGTCCTCATTCCCGCCTCCGCCGCCTTCTTCGCCATTTCCCTCCTCTACTACTTGATAGACGTGCGGAACGTGTGGCCGAACGGTAACCATGACAACAACTAACACATCGCCCTCACGCTCTCCCCTCTCGCAGGCCAGCCCTTCCACTACCCGGGCATGAACTCGCTCATCCTCTACATCGGGCATCAGGTGTGCGGCTCAATGTTGCCCTTCACCTTCAACGTGGACGAAGGTGATCACGTGGGGCCGCTCGCGCGCGACCTCTGGACGACGACCATGTGGTTCATTGTGAGCGTGCGTTTGGCGCAAAACGACTTCTTCTTCACGGTGTGACACAAGAGTGCGCTCAACAATGCGTTTGCAATAAATAAATAAATAGTTTAATTCAAATGTCAACTGATTGTTGCGATCGCGTTCTCGATGAGGATGACGCGGTTGTAGCGTTTCCAGCGCAACGCGATCGACACGTACACTCGGATTTGCACCAATAGGAACACGATGCCGCCGAACAGCCCGATCGTCACCACCTGTAATGAGAGACAACGGTTAGTAATCACAACACCGACACTGCGACACGTGCCAGCATCTTGGTCCAGAAGGGCCAGTCCAACAAGCCGTGGCGCGCTTCGGCCGTCGCCCTCTCGATCAACACATATATCGACCAAAACACGCAAAACATGGAAATGGCGTTAAAAAGGAGATTGAAGACCAGTTTCCGCCGCTCGCCAGCCGTCATGTCCAGCGACTCCCACTGAGAGAGAGAGAGTATTGTTAGCGCACGACAACACAATCGCATACTTTGTGCAGCGGTTTGTTTTTGACCACAAGTTTGAAATGGAATTTGCAGAGCTCGCAGTTCCTGTGGCTCGAGCTCCGGATCCACTGTTGCAGACAGTAGTGGTGGACGTAGCGCAGGGAACCCGAGCACAGGCACGGCGTGATCAAAGGGGAGTCGTCGCAATCGCTTTCGCCGCAGTGACAGATGCGACACACCATCCCCTCCTCAGCAGCCATTGAACTCCAATGAACTCTACACTCGCTTCCACTCAGACACCGCTCCTTCGCATCTCTTTCCCCAATAATTGTCGCTTTTGTCACTTTTGTCCGCTCTTCCGCTCCGAACCGCTTTCGTCTGATTCGCCGCTCGTTTCCAACAATTAGTTAATTATGAAATTGAGTCCAAATCGAGACAAATGTCAAACTTGTGTCCAAAATGGTTGTGAAATGCGCGCAGAGATGGCGCCATATTATAGACACCCATAGTGTGGAGTTGTATGCATTGGCGCCGCGAGAGGGCGCAGTCGCGCACAACACGGATGCGCGCAAAGCAGTGATGAACTGCGAGGAGAGAGAGAGGAGTTGTGTTGTAGTGAACGTCACTTTCGCTGTTTTATTGAGACTTTGGAAACCGATTGCAAAATGTCTGACAAAATGTCGAATCAATCGAATCAACAAAACGCGACAAAAGTGTCCACAACTGACCGCATCATCAAAAGTGAGTCCATTCGCGCCCCCACTCCGCCCCCACACCTCCCGCCCGCCCCCACACCCCCGCACTCAGCGCTGCGACGGCCACAGCACTCGTCCCTCCCATCCCTCCCATAGCTGTCCATTCACTTCCCTTTTCTCAATGTTTTCACTCTTTTTCCCGTTTTCTCAACAATTGTTTCCATTTTTCCGCTATTTTTCGTTCGATTTCTCTTTCCTTTCATTCGATTCCCGAATCTTTGTCTCGTTTTCCGAAATTCTGTTTCGTTTCCTCTTTTCAAGAATATTCTGTTTTATTCTCTCATTAAAAATGCAAATCATTTCTCATTAAACGACACTTTATTTCCTTTTGTTTTTATTTCGCGTTATTTTCGCCAAAAATGCGTTCTTTTTATGGATTTTTGCCTAAAATGTCGCGAAATTATTGCCGAACATTGATTTCACGCGAATTCCCCGCAAAAACATTGTCCGAAGCGAAAAGCCGTGAATTCGCGCAAATGTTTGCATTAATATTCACTTCACGCGAGAATATCCATAACAACGCCGTCACAACACTAACAATGCATTCCTCCTTTAGGCGTTCCGTTCCCGCCGTCTCACAAGCTGTCGATGGCCGACGTGTTTGAGGCCAAGACGGGGAAACCGCGCACAGAGATCCTCAAACAGCACTTCATTCTGGAGGGTAGGATCGAGGAGAACGTCGCCCTCCGCATCATCAACGAGGGCGCCGCACTTCTGCGCTCCGAGAAGACCATGATCGACATCGAGGCGCCCGTCACGGTCTGCGGCGACATTCACGGCCAGTTCTACGACCTCATGAAGCTGTTCGAAGTGGGCGGTCCGCCCTCGCAGACCAAGTACCTGTTCCTCGGCGACTACGTCGACCGGGGCTACTTCTCCATCGAGGTATGATCACTACTGTGACGTCACCTGTACTACAACGCTCTCCCCGCAGTGCGTGCTCTACTTGTGGTCGCTGAAGCTGTGCTTCCCGACGACGCTGTTTCTGCTGCGCGGGAACCACGAGTGCCGCCATCTCACCGAATACTTCACTTTCAAAACCGAATGTAACTATAGTTCTCGTTGTGGTCACGTGTCTCACGTTTGTCCCTTTCAGGCAAAATCAAATACTCGGAGCGCGTGTACGACGCCTGCATGGAAGCCTTCGACTGTCTGCCGTTGGCCGCTCTCATGAACGGACAGTTCCTCTGCGTTCACGGAGGTGAGCGTCACGTGACTCCAAATCAAGGCTAACACTCATATGTTTAGGTCTGTCGCCGGAAGTGCACACTTTGGACGACATCAAGAAGCTGGACCGCTTCAAGGAGCCGCCGGCGTTCGGCCCGATGTGCGACCTGCTGTGGTCGGACCCGTTGGAGGACTTCGGCAACGAGAAGTCGAATGTGGAGCACTTCACGCACAACAGCGTGCGCGGCTGCTCCTACTTCTACTCGTACGGCGCGTGCTGCGAGTTCCTGCAGCAGAACAACCTCCTCTCCATCATCCGCGCCCACGAGGCGCAGGACGCCGGCTACCGGATGTACCGCAAGTCGGTGGTCACCGGCTTCCCCTCCCTCATCACCATCTTCTCGGCGCCCAACTATCTGGACGTGTACAACAACAAGGCGGCCGTCTTGAAGTACGAGAACAACGTGATGAACATCCGGCAGTTCAACTGCTCGCCGCATCCCTATTGGCTGCCCAACTTCATGGACGTGTTCACGTGGTCGCTGCCCTTCGTCGGCGAGAAAGTGACCGAAATGCTCGTCAATCTCCTCAACATCTGTTCGGACGACGAGTTGATCACCGAAGGCGAGGAGAGCTTCGAGAGCGAACTCGAAGGTATTGTTGTCTTGCATCGCACTCACAGCGCATGTCCGCCGCAGTTCACTAATTTTTTCGTTTGTTTCCTTAATTTGCGCCGAATTAACGCTTTTCCGCTTCCATTGTCGCGACGCGTGATTCTGACCTCAACTTTCCATTGAGACGGCATAGCGTCGGCGCGCAAAGAGGTGATCCGCAACAAGATCCGCGCCATCGGCAAAATGGCGCGCGTGTTCTCCGTTCTGCGCGAAGAGAGCGAATCCGTGCTCCAACTCAAAGGTCTCACTCCCACCGGAACTCTACCTCTCGGCGCGCTCTCCGGCGGCAAGAACACGCTCAGGAACGGTAAGTCCTAATGTGCTGTACTGTGTCTCTGACTGTGTCTCCCTCTAGCGCTGGCCGGCTTCTCGCCGCACCACAAGATCGCGAGCTTCGAGGAGGCGAAGGGTTTGGACAAAATGAACGAAAGAATGCCTCCGCGGAAGGAGGCGCCGCCGCCGCCGCCAACCGACAAATCCATTGACAGCTAATCGCGTGAAACAGTAATTCTTTCTCTCATTTGTCCCGAAATGCGAAACTCCTTTCAAAACGTTTAATAACTGTTATATAAGAAACGCATCCTTTTTGAAGACATTTCCTTTTGACGACATTTTGTATGATATTTATTCGTTGAGGTTTTTCATCATTTTTTGGCCAAAAGTCATTTGTTTTGCTTTCGTTTGAGACTTTGTGTCTCAAAAACTGAAACATATTTCTCTCGTTTCGTCAGTTTTGGAACCAATTTTCAACCCTTTGTCTCCAAATTCAAGATTTTTTTAATAATTCGACAAAAAAACGCCTTTTAATGAAATATAATAAATGGAAAATATTTAAAGAATGTTCTCTTTATATATAAATATCACATAAATTTAATGATTATTATAATTATAATATTGATATAAATTCAAATATATATTAAGAAATTGATTGACATTTATAAACATTTTCCACAAAACCGATTCGTAATTGTGACGAAGCAATCTTCCCGTCGCCGACACCCCAATCGATGTTTGAATTATTCCGGAAACGCATTCATATCACAGGAATCGACAATTTTCGGATTAATAACGGATTCTACTATTTGTCACAAGAATTAAACGAAATTCATTTTTGTTGAAAATAAGTGTTTTTGTGTTTTGTGTGGAGATTTTAAGTGCAATAATAATAACGAAATAATAATAACTCATAAGAAATGGTTTTATTTATTCGCGAAACAAATATTAATTAAGGATTGATTTCTATTAGTTTTACTTCAAATACACGAAAAATCTCGATTTAAGGACTTAAATATATTTTGTTTGTATTTTTTAAATGATTTATAATTTTATTTAATTGCCATAAATAATGTTAAGTTTGTTCATAATTCTTGTTTTAGTCATTGTTTTGTCTCTTAAGTTGTGTTCAAATCGACTGAAAGATCGGATTTTTAAATAAGACTTAATTTCAATGTTTATATAAATTAATTCCTCTTAAAGTCAAATATAATTAAATAAATTGTTCACAAAATAATTGCTTTGTTTATATTGTTGTTGCCTCCGGCGCTGTGTCCAAATCACGTGACCACCGGTGGCCTCGAGAAAGCGATGGCGCGAGTGCTCTCCACAGTGAAGGCAATTGGATGCAAGTGTGAAAGTGAGGGTTTTGAACAAGTGTTCAGTGGTTTCGGGCGAGTTTGAGCAGAATCGGCAGTCGGGGGCGCACTTTATTCTGTAGACACCTTTATCTATATTTACATTATTTATTACTTAATCTCAACATAAATACACTTTTATCGCAAATATGACGAAAAAAAGCGTTCAACTCCTTTCCCTGTGTTTCGGTTTCGGCTCGTGGATCGCGATCGCCGGTCTTTGGCTCGAAATACCGGTTCTCATCCAACGACTGCCCGAGAAATGGACGCTCGCCTCCGACATGAACATGGTCATCCAGTTGGCCAACGTCGGACCCGTTCTCTACTTCTTTCTCCGCAAATACAAACTCTGCGACGAAACCATTGCCTCCCACGCGCTGCTCTTCGTCGGCCTCGTGTCGTGTCTGCTGCTGATCACGTGTTGGGACAAAACGCTCGTCGTGTTCGGCAGAGAGCGCTCTGTCGTGCTGTTTGCGGCCACTTTCGGCCTCGCGCTCCTCGACTGCACCTCTTCGCTCACTTTCCTCCCATTTATGGCCAGATTTGAGACCAAATATTTGACGCCATTCCTCATCGGCGAAGGTATTCACTGTATTGTTGTGAACGCGAACTGAATCTCTCTTCCCTTAGGCTTAAGCGGTTTCATTCCCACGCTTTTCGCTTTGCTTCAAGGCGTCGAACAAAACGAATGCGAAAACGCAATGAATTCGGAATCGAATCTAAGATTTTCGGCGAAATTCTTCTTTTCCTCTCTTCTCTTGACTTTAATTATTTCCTGGATTTCTCTCGTTTTGCTTCAATCTCTGCCCGACTGTCGTCACGAGACGCGACGCCAAACACCACAAGACGTGGACAACAAAAACGTATTTCTCTCTCGAGTTTTGAACACAAATAACAATTCTTGTCCCGAATTCGCAGACAATCGGAAACCGGAAATACAAGTACTTGTTGTCTGTCATCGGTTTCTCCTGTTTCTCCACCTTTGGTGTCATGCCTTCCATTCAAGTAAAAGCACTGCAAAACACCTGAAATACTAATCACTTCTCTCTCAGCCCTTCTCCGCGCTTCCGTTCGGCAACTCTTGTCTCCATTTTGTGGTCATTTTTTCGGCCCTTTGTTTTCCTTTCGGATGTTTTTTGGCAATGATTTACCAAAAGAGAAAAAGCGTTTGTTTTGTCAATTATTTAACACTTTTCGCGCATTTAATCGCAGTTTATATCATAATAACCGCTATTTTGAGTCCAAATCCACCTCTCATTCAATTCCCGACTTTTGGCTCCATTTTTACGACAATTTGTTGGATTTTTTTCACAACAATCGTCTCTTATGTGAAAACAATTATAACTCTAATAATAAGCGATTCGAAGGGAAACGAAGGACTTTTTTGGATCGGCTTTCAAACCCAGTTTGGATCTCTTTTTGGCGCTCTTTTCATGTTTCTAATTATTAATCACTCAAACGTTTTCAATAGTAATTGTTTTTCTTGAAAAAAGGGTTTATTTTCGCTCTTTTTCACGCTATGGCAACAAATGGATATATTATTCACGAAAAATCAATATTTCTCTCAAAACATTGCATTTCTCTATAATTACTATAATTTCTCATTAAATGTGATTTTAATACAAATTTGGGTCAAAATTACACTTTTTTAAATTAATAAAAATTATTTGTATTTTTGTATAAAAATTAAAACCAATTCTGACTTTTGCCGACAATTGTGGCGAAGATATGATATATTGTAATGATTATTGTGTTTGCAATAAATCCATAAATAATAATAAGTTTATTGTCTTTGAAAGACATTTGGAAATCAGATAATCATTTATTACGACATTAATCGACAATTCGTTTAATTATTTCTCTTTTCAACAATTTTTGTCAAATTTTTCCTCAAAATATTAATTTTTTCACAATTTTCGTAATAAATACTTATTTTTTTGGGAAAATTGCGACAATTTTTGGAATAAATCATTCCAAAAGTCATTTATTTTATAACTTTTTATACGAAAACTTCTGAAAACTTGTTTTGACTTTAAAAATATTGAGATATAAATGAAATTTAATTTCTTTGACAAATATTTAACTTTCATTTTTGAATACAAATATTATTTCAATAGTTTTGTAAATGAAATATAATTTTCAAAATCTGTAAAGAATTTTAAAAATAGATTTCGAAATAGAAATCGTGTTTTCATTCGTTTATAATTTTTATGGTTTTCTTCGAAATAATGCCTAAAATGTGAACCAAAGAGAGATTTATTCTTCAATTCGAAAAGCACTCAAAAACACAAAACAAACGCTCTTTTGATTGAATCAATGATTCATCGAAAAACACTTTCATTTACATAATTGGCGTTTTTAATTATCATTCAATTTATTCAAATTTTATTTATCGGCCATCGATTGGAGAGCGAGAGAGGGGAGGGAAAGGGGG